GGGGAGTTGGGGGGTATTATAATCAAAATATATTATATGCATGCATAGAAATTCTCAATAACAAATATATCTTAAGAGAAATCAAAAGTAAAGTATGTCAGATTTTTTCAGAGCAGAACTGAAGTAAAGCTGTCATATGAACCTCATGACTCTTGCTACAAAACTAAAAGCTGCGTGGGAAGCATGTTCAAACTGTAGAATAATTAATTTATGACTTGATACCAACAGGTAGACAGGAAGGGCAGAATGCAGGTTAGGAGCCTTCAGTTTCCGTTTCTATGAAATAAGAAATTCAGGGACTAAAAAAAGCTCTCTGAACAGAAGCAGAGGGGAGGCAACCAGGGCCGGCGGGTGGGGAGAACAAGAGGAGAGAAGGGAGGGAAAACTCAGATCAGGATGTAAAATAAATGAAAAAATAATTTAAAACAACAAAAGGAACTTCAGCCATCATTTAATAAGAATCCTGAATCCTCTGTGGAGTTTAGATGAGATAACCAATTTTTTTAAAAGCTTCTAGCTTCATCGCTTACTCCAAGAGACAACATTTTTTGTATTTTTGAACCCTCCAACTGCAAGACAGGATTTCTTTCTTTATTAGAATGTCTTGGAGAAGACAATGTAAGAGATAATGTATAAACTTCACTATACTTACATACTTTTTAGAAATAACCTTTATTGCCTTGGTTCGGGAGAAAAGAAAGAATAGTCTATTAATGACAATTCTACAATATAAAGCCAACTTCAAAAGATCCATCTTTAGTATAAATTTGCATTCTCATAACAAAATACATGAGAAACTATCTTCTGAGTACATAAAGGAGACATACCTAGAATGATATCATTGATGTGCAGAAGAATTGTAGTTTCAACATTCGCAAAACTACAAAGTTGTACTCCATCTAATCTTCCATCCCAGTTGCCAATAGGGTTATCCTTGAAATGCCAAAAAAGTAAACCTTTATACCTTTGTCAATAAAATATAAATATGAACACTAACATTTCATACAAAAGTATTACCTAAAATATCTTTCATAGAGAAATGTTAACTATTTTTCCCAAAAGAAAGGCTGTATTAGAAATATCTGCTAAAGTAACAACGTTTTACAATAAAAGTAATAACAATCAACTTACAGCAAACACACAAAATAATGAATCAAAAGCATTTTTCATACTTTAGTCTGCAGTAATAACACCAGCTGAGGTTTAAAGAGACATTGTCTGCAAAAGAAAATTTACTAGGAATGCATTATCTTACCCAGAAACCTACCCTTAAAGTTAATCACACATTTGCACCCCCTGGGCACTGTGCTCACTGTATTGCTATTTGTCTTTCTATAAACAGAACAGCAGTTACTTCAGAATTCTCTTGTGGGTATACAAGATTTTCCTCAAAAAATCGGGATTTTCTAAGTTATTCTCTACTGTGTCACCAGCCACAGGAGTTATTAGTGAGGCACAACCAGCCACAGGAGTTATTAGTGAGGCACAACCAGCCACAGGAGTTACTAGTGAGGAACAAGCAGCTGGCTGGAAAACAACTGCTCTGAGAACCAGTGTGGAATGTTAGCGTGTCCCTGCAAACAGACAGGCATGAGTAAAGTTGGGCTTGACAAACTTTCTTATCAAGAAGTCTAATGGGAGTGTTTGGAACTGATGCTCGCATAAATCAAACGGAGGGACAGAACTGGTGTGGAACTGGCAGGCAAGTCTCAAGACAGCCTGCCTGGGCTAAATAAGATGACCCCCTAGGTCACCATTAAGAAGGGAGAAGACCCAAACAGTTCATGTAACATCTAAAGCCTGGGCCAAGAAACCTATAGCAAGGGGAGACTAAGTCCAAAGAATAATGGCCTTCTTTCTCCAACATTCTCTCTACCCGGTCTACAACTCCTCTGAAACACTAAACTCACATTTAAAGAATTCTTGTTCTTAATTATTAACAATTCTGAGAGACCCACGGGTCTTTCTCTGGCTCTAATTTCACAAAGTGAGAGTCTGGCAAATTCTTATTTTGTACCTAACTAATGAGCCATCTTACACAATTTCTAAGTACAAGGTAATAGAAACACACTGGAACATTCATACCCAACCATCTCTGTAGAGCATTTATGAATAAATAAAAATGATTATTAAAAATACTGACTGTGTGAGTCTGCTGCTCATATCCTCTCCTAATACACCCTGGTAAGAACAATTATGAAGGAATCTCCTTTATCCATAATGAACTTTTGCCTGTACTTTCAGTCTATGATAAAAATGTTCTCGATTCTTCTCATTCTCTTAAGGCCACGTTAATTCACTATGTGCACTGGAATCATCCATTGTTAGCAAGTGTGGTTATTCAGTAATAAAATAAGTGACACAAACACAAGGGGTGACACCATATGACCTCACTTCTGAGGTCCTACAGCAGGCAAACGTCCCGTCTGTAGTTACCAGGCATGGGCAAACTGGGAAAAATTTATTTAATAGAAACAGAGCACAGCACAGGATGATGAAAAACTTCTGTAGACAGACAGTGGAGAGGCCATGATAAGAACAAACCAAATGATCTGAACTGTGAGGGTAACCATGGTTACGCTGGAACCTTTCTTATACACAGTTTGCCACAATAAGAAAACAATTTTTAGACAGTGAAAATCCTGTGGGAATACTCTGTCAACTCAAAAAGCACTATGGTTTTTTTCCTGTGTATTTTCTATTAATAACTTTATACACTCATTATTATTAGTTAAACTTTACAAATATACAAAAAAGTATCAAAAGTATTTTTAAATTAAAGAAAAATACAGTATCATACAATGTATTTGGACTTGGTTAGTCAGAGAAATGTCAGTTTGCTTTATTGTTTTGGTTTGGTTTTTGTTTTTGTCTACTGGTCAGTTAAAATAAGGAGAATTTAAAGACTGAGAGTATTATCCCAGTTTATTAAAACACGAAAAAATGTAGTAAACGTATTGTTTCTGCTCACATTCCTACTGTAATGCTCCTGTACCAAAGATAAACTGGAATATCTTCTTTAAAATACTGTAAATTAGTCCATTTTAAGAATACAAAGTGTTCAATTTATACCTAAATTGATAATAAAATTAATATATATATATATATATTCACAATAATAAAACTCAAAAAATCCTTACCATGTCCACACCAACAAAATATCCTAGACTCTCTATTCCTGGCAAAACATCACAGAATATTACTCTTCCAGATTCCACACTTCCCCCAACTTCCAGTGAAACTCGTGACTTTATTTCTAAAGGGGGAGGTTCAGTCTGCATTTTATCCCCCGGAGCTGCAGAATCACTTTCCAATTTGGTGTCATCATCTTCTATGGGCTCCAGCTTGTCCGATGCCACAAACACGCCACAGTCTTCATCACACTGAAAAAGCTGTTTCCCTTGATATACCCCATCAGTGAAACCTTGGCCACGACCTTTTTCCTAGTTTTCAACATTTTTTTAAAAAGAGATATAAAAAAGATTATCCATTAAAGGGATTTCAGGAAATTACTTTGGAGAAACTATAAATTACATCCATAATATGAAATATGACTAGCAGCTGCTGTTGGGTTTAGGGTGTTTAAAGAATAAAGAAGCTGTATCTGATGATGAAACTAACTCAGAATTACAGATCATAATTCTTTTGAGAAAGAGTGAGGATTAAATTTACAACATAGTTCTACCATGACTTTTGTTATGAGCAGACATTCAGCTTTAACCAAACAGCAGCATCAGCTCCATCCATTTACTGAGAACAAACTGTAACCATCTACAGCCATCCACCGTACAACTACTAAAAGTCATGTGTGCTCTAAGCACTTCACAGATGAGGAACAAACAGATTAGGAGAACTTGATGTAGGTTCGTTAAGTACCCTGGCAACCCTGCTAGTACATAACATAACTGGCAGTCGAAGCCTAATTATCTCACTGCTTAAAAAGCCAAATCAATAAGCAAGCAAAGCACGACCTCTCTCTACTCGTGAGAGTGTCCAAATGTGAACCAACAGTCAGTTCGGAATATAGAATTCTTAGATATGTTGCCAAGGCAAATAAGTTCCAAGGCAGTTTGTACATTCCAGGGATAAGTATGAGCAAACTGACATTGCTGAAACACAATTCAAAATCTTACCTCTAAACTGTTATACTTAGTAGCATACACTAAGAACTGGGAATCCTGTAGGTACAATCACAAGATAGTTCACAATTTTTTAAGTGTTTATAATTACAATTGGTATGTTAACTTTTAATATAGGTAACTTAAAAACTTCTAAGATATGAAGTCCAGAATAATGACTTGTAAATTTCTACTGTAAGAGATAAGTTTTTAAATTTTTCAAGGATTGTTTTTACATCCTCTCAATTTTGGGGCTGAACTATATAGCTCAGTGGCAGAGGGCCCTGAGGTCCATCCTGAGAATTGTACTAAAAACAAACAGAAAACATAAATCTTATAAAGGGGAAAATATGTGCTCGTGGTCTCTCGTTCACGCACGCGCTCGCTTTCTCATGCGCTCTCTCCCTCTCTCCCTCTCTCCCTCTCAAATGTCCTATCAAACTTACCAGCAATTCTACTCCAAAGAAAATCCCCGAAACTGTCCTCTCCGCTAATAAAGGTCCTCTGAAGCGTACAACTCCTGGAAATTTCTCTTCCCCAGATCGCAGCTGTACCTTCACAGGGCTGCCCACGTCTACCTGGAGGCCTTGACTTAGTCGAATTCTGTTTCTAAATAGGCTGAGCCTCTCCTCACAGTTGGTAATTGCCAACAGTAACTCTGTAAATTTCTCATTGATTTCTACAACATCCTTTTCATCAACAAAGAGAACTGCGTGTGGTTGCTCTAAGATTTGTAATCCAATCTGACTTTTCTTGCCTTTTGCAGAAGGAACTCTTGAATGCCCCACAGAACGGTCTTGGATGCACTGTCCTATACTTCCTTTGGGTACTTTTAGGAGTTTCTGTGTCTGTTTGTCTGTTACACTGCATTCTTGAAGAAGCAGATAAAAAATCCGTTCTTCCCAGGAAGGTGAAGTAACCTTCTCTTGGCTCCATAGGCCTGAACTCATTGTGACAGGAACTTCAGAACATCAACTCACAAAAAGGAGCCACTAGCAAATCTGTCATAAAATCCCCAAAAATGAAGTTACTGGAAGTCCCAAAGCAAGCTGTTAACAACCTGGTGTCCATGCTGTAAAAAGACAGCAATTCAAAGTGCCTGGCAAACAAGCAAAACAAACTTTAGACTCTATTCAATACAACCTTAAAATAAAACTAAAGATTTTTTAAAATCTCATTTGACTATATAAATATCTCAATGAGTTAAAAGACCCATATGACTTGTGTCCACTGTAACTGCATTTTTAAAGAACTCCAGCAACAAAGCATCCATAGAAACAATAACGACTTTTCCAAAATTCTAAAATTAGAATCTAACAAAAACTTTAAGATTATCCTAATATACAAACCCTGAGACTTTTTCTAAACTTTACAAAGTAGCATTTCTGTCTAACTTGAATGAATAAGATACAATATTTGAGAAAACACACATAATCTTATAAATTAAAAAGGCTATTTCTAAATGTGTAACTTAGAAAGTAACATATTACAGTATCAAACATCTTTTAATCAATTAAAAATATGACAATATTACATTCTGAAACTTTATCCAAAATTCATTTATCGATAGCTTCATTTTGGTAATGGAACATTATCTCACTCAATTTTATTTTTTCATATATTTTATTTTTATTTACATATATATGTTGTATCTCTGTGATTGTATGGCACATGTGTGTACTCCAAGAGGCCGAAAGGGGGTAGTTAGATCCTCAGCAGCTGGTGTTACCGGCAGTTGTGAGCCACCCACCATGGGTGAAGAGAACCGAATTCAGGTCCTCTGGAAGAGCAGTAACTGCTGACCAATCTCTTTAGCCCCTCAATTTCATTTTCATATACGTTTTGTGCTTAGACAAGGAGATATTAACTATACTAATTATAACTACTATTTAATTTCTTAAAATCACAAGCATTAAATATTATAATCTTGAATATATATATACATATATATTAGGAAATTATTTGTAGCATCAAAATTTGGACAATGCAATAATGATATATGACTATATTACATTGTTCCAAGATTTTTAGCCCATCTGATTTTGATGTCAATGTCTATAAATTATACTGAATTACAGACGCTTATATCTACAAATTGTGGGCTTTATACCACAATTTTAACTATGTAAAAAGGAAAGAATATACAAATGATTACTTTCCAGATTTAACTTGCATTTAAAACTGTTACAAAAATAATTTTACAATTTGTAGCCTCATTTTTAAAGACAACTTTAACTAATGACTTAAAACAACATAACTTCAAATGCTGTAAATGACATGCCCATTGTCAACGCCAGGCTAAATGAAGAAAAGTTTGAAGCTATCCCACTAAAATCAGGAGCAAGGCAAAGTTGTCCACTCTTGTTACACACAAATACCACAGTTCACATGTAAAGGTACAAGGACAACACAGGAATCGGTTCTCTCTGTCCACCATGTAGGCTCCAGGAATCAAATTCGGGTCATCAGGCTTGGCAGCAAGCGCTTTTACCTGCTAAGCCATTTTTTCAGTCAAACATATACTATTTCATAAGCCAATTTAGAAATATAAGTTAAAAGAAAATTAGCTTTATAAGGGAGATATCCTGCTTGACTAAATAATGGTACCCCTGAAAGTTATGGTTATTAAACAAAAATCCCAGTGCCAGATGTAGGAATACCTCCTTAAGAATTGTTAGGCAGGGAGCTTCCATATGCCTCCAAGACAGTCCAGACTCTTGCCAGTCCTCTTGGTTGCCCACCAGAACTAGATGATGAGATTCTATTACTTAAGACACCACATTGCTTAGCTGTAAGATACAGAGAAACCAAGACATGAAGCTAGAGTTGGGATGGACACATCGTCCTCTGACTAGCTTTCACAGGCTGAAAGGTGCTACACAGGCTGGGTAGGCAGAGTAGGACGTCAGTGGTCTGGCCCAGCTGTGAATCCTATGGACTACAATACTAACCAAGCAGGCAAGACTGTGACGGACTCAGTCAACCATGCTCTATTGAATTTGAGGTCTGCTCTGGTAGAGGGAATCCATGCCAGGAATAAACCAGTTCAGAAACCCAGGGCATAGAGGCTAACTGCCAAAGAAAAATTTTAAAAACTCAATTTCATTCCTTAAAATGAAGGACTTATTTAATTATCTCCATGAAAAGAATGGTTTCCATGTATCTCTGTCATAAGGATGTAGCTACTTGATTCCCAAAAACAGTGCTTGTTTGTTTCACACTTCTTTGAGACAGAGATATCCTTCTCCAGCCCTGTGGTTGAAGGCAGCAATTAATAACAATTATACTATGTAAACATTTTATTTTTGTAATTCAAATCAAATAAACTTAAAACTAAAGCATCAAACTGTATTATCTGACTCAGTGATTAAGCAACCAGGCAATCCAACACACAGAGTAACAGTTCTCTTAGAAAACACTTTTAGGTGATAAAGTGTCCCATCATAGTAACATTTTCACAAGTCTCTTCCTCCTTAAGTCCAAAGGAGAGACATAAATCGCCCAAGACAGGCTAAAGTCAGCATTCCTCCAATCCACCATCACTTAAAGCATCTGAGCAATGTTTGGTGAAAATGAATGAAGCTCATGGCAGCTTGAGTGGCTCCTCTTTCTGCTTCCTTTTGTAATGCGTCTCTAACTCCACTTGAGGGCACTGTCTACTTCAACAAAAATGGAATCAATCTATAGCTGCCACTTACATAACACACCTGTGGACACCTCAATCTTAGCCCCACATAAACAAAATCCCTCAAAAAAGAAAAAAAGCACCAAAGAAGCTACCCAACCCCTTAATGTGGCTCTGTGCCTCTGAGGCACCAAGATAAAGTATTTGGTCTTTTGTTGTTTTTGTTTTGTTTGGTTTTACTAAATGCTATTAATATGTCAGCATTTTTTCAGGAAAGGAAATTACTTTTTCCTCAATCGCTAAGAATCATTAGGAATATAAATTATTATTAGTGAGCCTCAAAATATATGTCTATTTATTATTTCATTAAAAAGCTTTCCATCCTGTCCTCTAGCTCCCTTTCCTGTTTTCTATAAATCATAGTCTATACTATACTGGCCCTCTTGCAATCAGCCATTTTCTGTGGTTTCCTGCAGTCTGTCTTTGACTCTTTTTGTGGCCTCCTTGCTTTCCAATTTACTATTTCTAATCAGTTCTAAGAAGTGAGGTGATGAGGTATGTTTCTGTGTCTAAAAAAGCAAAGCAACAAAAACAAAAGGAACAGACAAATTCTAGAAGGGTCTTGAAAAATAAGGTGCATAAAGCCTTATTACAAAGATATTCTTGAGACTGTTCCCAGAGGTTGAAACAATCAAAAAGTAGTGAGTTATTGTTTGAGGATCTCTTTAAAGTGCAAAATTTTTGGTCAAAAACATTTCAGAGCTATTTTATTTTTAAAATAATTTTTTCTAAAACCAGGTATCTTTAAATAGTAAGCTGGAAATTGCCTATTCTATTGATTCTCTAACTTAACAACTAGTGCCACAGCTTGAAATGAAAAATATAAGTGTTAATGAAACATTATCAAATCAACACAAATCATTTTATTTGTTTTACGATATTATATTTTAAATGAATTTGCTTACAAAATTGCCTTTTGCAACTCATTAATGGAAGTAGTACACAGTTTAAAAAAAGAAAAAGAGTTTTTTGGCTAGTAAAAGGGTTTCTGGAAACAAACAGAAGTTTTAAAACACCATTTTTAAAGTGAACTAGCAGAGAGTGATGAAAGTCTGCCAACTTTTTGCACAAGGAAACCTGAGTTTATACTCAGTAACAGGGTAGGTCACAACAGACAACTAGAATAGTCAAAGCAAACATTACAAAATACTTAAGGTGTTATCCAAATATAAGAAACATGCGTGACCTTCCCTCTTTACAAGAATCATATTAAGAATAGGCTTGAAACACATTACAGTTAATTTCCCTTATTACAAATAATAAAGTTGAATGAAGAACTTTATGGTGCCCTTTGCTCTGTTATTCATGACAGTTAACTCATTCAAAAGGCAACCTGATCAAATTTGCATATGCTATGCTGGCCTCCAATCAACTCCCAGAGTCCCTGTGCCATGACAGCTGTCGAGCCAGGAGGGTGACACACAGGCAGAACTCTAACCTGCGTGGGTCTAGATTTCCCACCCTGCTGCCACCAGTCTGGGCCCGGATAGAAGATGTGACCTCTCGGAGTGGCAGAGAGCGTGTGGAGATCACACATCGCTGGTCCGTCAGTTCAGGAGAAGATGACTGTCGGAACCCTACAAATGGGGAACTCTCTGGAAAACTGTATTTAGAAAAGCAGAGCAGACTGGACCTCCCGCTTGCTCCCTCTGACTGCACAAACCCCGTTCCTTCACTACAATATCAGCCTGGCCCTCTTAAAAGCCACGAGCTAGGATGCCTTGTTTAATAGTGGAAGGTCAGCATGTGACCAGCCTAGCCCTGTCACTCAGGCAATACCCATCATGCATTTCAGGAAGAAGTCCACCTGGGGGGAGGAGCCTCAGAGTCTGAGCTTCACAGCAATCCCTCTATGCTTCTCTCTGCAATCCCTCCGCAAACCCAGGGTTGGGGGGCTCACCTGCTATATTCTGCTCCAGCCCTGTCTCTGACTCACCTGAGGGCCTGGGTGTGCTCATCCCAGATGAAGGGATGCCTATTCAACAGAGTCCTGCCAGCAAGGAAGGAGAGCTTGTGCTAGAATGTGACCAGTCCAGTGACAACCACTGACTCCACCTCAGCGTGCAAGACCACAGACTTCCACACAGTGGCATACATTTGGTGGCGACAGGAGCCAGAATGATGCCTGTGGTGCGCTGGGGTTGACTGATGCAAGGACAGCAGGAGAATTCTGGGGAGGAGGAAGTTGATTCCTCCCACTCCTGCCCAGATCACCGAAGCCACAGGATGTGAGCTGCCCCACTGAAAAAGGTACTGAGCCACATGGCTAAAATAGATCATACTAATGGGTTAATCAAGATGTGAGAGTTAGTTAATAAGAAGCCTGACCTAAAAGGCCAATCAGCTTTATAACTTACAGAGATTTCAGTATGGTTGATTTTCTCTGGCGCCTGCCGGTTGTGGGGTACCAGGCGGGGACAGAAAACACAAACAAGCAGGGCCCTACATGTTACAGAATGGCGCCCACGTGGATAACTTCACCCACAAAAAGCCTGAGAATGCTTGGGAAAGATTAGAGTAAAGCATTTCAGTTTTCAGCCATGGCAGGAAAAAAGCTACGCTGTTTTAAAATGCTGGCTTTCTGGGCCGTCCTGCCAGGGAAAACTCTTGACTCTTTCAAGCAGGCAGTCCCGACTCTGGAAACACTGTAGCAAATTGCTTCCTGGCAAGGACCTTGAAATGCCTTAAGAGCTTTTGACTGTTGTTTTCTCCAATTCCTTAGCAAATTAAAGACCCACATGGTCAGAGATATACAGTAAAGAGAGATTCAAACAATAAGAAAACCTCTAAATAGTTTACAGTATGTTAAAAATATACTCGGGCTTTAAAAAAAAAAGGTATAAAGCCTTAAAATAAAAAAGAAAGAAAGAGAATAGTTGGGTGTGGTGATACACACCTTTAATCCCAGCACTGGGGAGGCAGAGACAGACGGATCTCTGGGAGTTCACGGATAGCCTGGTTTACAGAGGGAATTCCAGGACAAAGATATGCAGAGAACCTGTCTCAAAAAGCCAAAAGTTAAAAGTAAAAATAAAAGAAATAGAGGTTAAAATAAAACACATAAAGATGAAAAATATACAGAGAATCTTGATACTGTTTGCTATTATGCTCTCTTTGAATTGTTTAAATGCTGAGGAAGGAGCAACAGCTGCTAAAAGATATTTGCTTATAAATGCTGCAGAATTAATCCAAGATAGGTATTTTGAAAATACCTTGGCTTCAAAATAGAAATCAAAAGGTATATTACTTTGGAGAAGAGATTTTGCTTTTGTTTCCACTGAAAAAGAGAGGCTCTGGATTTATTCAGAGTTAAGAAAAATCATCTTTGACCAAGGGAGACCACCTGAACAATCTCTGGTAGGAACAGATGGCCCAGATGTCTGAGTTTCTTCATCCAGAACAGGTTCAAGACTGCTGCCTGAGATGATGAAGACTCACAGGATACTTCAGTCAGGACTTGATCATAACTCTAAATTTTCTTTAGGTCCCCATAAGATTCTCAGTGCCCCCAACAAGCTGGAAGTAGCCTGGAATACTACGCCCACATTCCCAAAACATGGACTATGGATATTTTCCTTTGTTTTTTTTTTTTTTTTAAAAAAGAGGGGGAAGTGGTGCAGGAGAATTGTCTGTATTCTGTCAATCATGTTTTAAATAAACACTGATTGGTCAGGCAGGAGGTATAGGTGGGGAAAACAGACAGGAAGTAGAAATGATGCAAGGAGAGCAGGAGAATTCTGGGAAGCAGGAAGTTGATTCCTCCCACTCCTGCCCAGATCACCCAAGCCGCAGGATGTGAGCTGCCCCACTGAAAAAGGTACTGAGCCACATGGCTAAAATAGATCAGAAAAATGGGTTAGTAAAGATGTGAGAATTAGCCAGTAAGAAGCCTGACCTAATGGGCCAATCAGCTTTATAACTTCTAGAGATCTGTGTGATTGATTTTTCTCTGGGACTAAATAACTGGGGGCCGGGCAGGACAGAAAACCCAAATAACAAACAGGCCCCCTCGTGTTACAGTTGACACCTGCCTGCAGGAGCAAAGGAGCTCGGGCTCAGAGTGGATGTCCCTAGGATGGTGTGTGACCTGAATTCAGGACAGGGGGATGCAGAAGGCCCACATGGAAGACTTGCTCTCGCCAGTGGCATGACATTAGCAGAGAAGAAACAAAACCACCTTGTACATCCCTGTGGCCCAAGAGCTAGAGCCACACAAGGGGCCTTCCCTTCTTATGGCCTTTCTACAAGTGGAACCTGACAAAACCACCATGACCAAGCACTACTCTCTTATTTCAGAGTCAAGGCCAAGCCTCTAGAGCCAAGTTCAAGTCTCATGGCTCTGTCAAGGCCTCTGTTTCCCAATCTGAGAAATGAAAAAGAGAACTTGAGCCATCGACTGATGATTTCCCGGTAGAGAAACTGGGGCCCAGGCCAGGCTCACCCTGCTTTCTCATTTGTTTCTCCTCTGTCATCTTCTGCCCTCACTCCTTCATCCTTAGCATCCTTAAAAACATGTAGCCTGGCCAGGCGGTGGTGGCGCACGCCTTTAATCCCAACACTCAGAAGGCAGAAGCAGACGGATCTCTGTGAGTTTGACGTTAGCATGGTCTACAAGAGTTAGTTGCAGGATGGGCTCCAAAACTACAGAGAAACCCTGTCTCAAACAACAACAACAACAACAACAACAAAAAAAAAATCCCCACACAAAGCACGTTGGCTGAATCCCGAGTGTGTCTACCTGGTCAGCCCTTCCCTGTCCCTATCTCAGGTGTCCAGGTTATACACATCTATGCACAGGTGTCCTTTGTTTGCCCACACTGTCTGTGTCTCAGCACCTCCTCTATCCACACCGTGTGCTCGGCCTTGTTCTGCTCCTCCTGGGTGCCCTTTGTCCATGTCGTCCTTCTCTCCAGAACCCCGACATTGTTGGCTGGGAAAGGGAAAGACAGTTACCTAAGGTGGAGGACCCACAGTCTCTCCTCTCCAGTCTCCCATAATAATGTAGCTACAGATTGACCCTCTTGGACTATGGATGGTTTCAGTCACGGTGACAGTACCCCCAGAGTCCTGGCACCACGCACATGAGGTCAACGGACTTCCCCTCTCCACAAGGCCACACAACCCACCCTCCATCTCGATGTTGCTTTTCACAGGCATGGGCCTCTTTTCCCCAGAGAGGCCAAGAGAAGGAAGGGCTCATTGCAAACCTAAGGGCTCGTTGCAAACCTAAGGGAAACGTGCCCAGGCCTTGCCATTCCAGTGACCTTCAGAATTCCTACTTCACACTCCCCAGCATCTGGAATACCACGTAGCATGTGATCTACAGTTGAGAAGGTTCCTGTTACCTCTGCTGACACACCCTGTCACACTCCCTGAACTCCTGCTGCTCAGTTCAGATGAGCCGGATGAGAGAAGAGCAAAGCCAGTGCAGTGTCTGTTAGAGGCATATTCAACATACATGCATGCATGTGCAAGCCTGTGCGCACACACACATTCTTGTAAGCAAAGTGAGGCCACACACACACACACACACACACACACACACACACGGTCTTCAGCCCCAACTTCCACTCTGTTCTGTCTTCTGCAGAGATGGAAACACACCTGCTCGCCCCTCTTGCCTGTTGGAAGTAGTCCAGCAACAAGCCTCTTTTGGGGTTTTAGAAACAGCATTTCTTTATGTAACAGCCCTTGCTGTTCTGGAACTTACTCTGTAGAGCAGGTTGGCCTCCAGCTCATAGAGATCCTCTGCCTCCAAGTGTTGGGATTAAAGGTGTGTGCCACCACTGGCTGGCAGCAAACCTCTCGAGTTTTATTTAGAAGAATACTGCATCAGACACATGGGTGCTCACACCTGGAAACTCATCAGACACACAGGTGTTCACACCTGGAAAGCTTATCAGACACACGGGTGTTCACACATGGAAACATTGCTCGGGGCAGCTGTTTCAGAGAAGATGCTTTGAGCTTCTCGTTAGAGGAGGACAGTTTCTAGGCGGTTTCTAGATAGTTTGCAAATTCTGTCTTAATCCCCACATTTGTAAATATAAAGACGATGCCCAACTATGTGTCAGCTAGTAGCCTACCAAGAGTTGTGTGTGTACTCAATTCCTCCAAGACCACGGGCATCACCATCTTAGGAAGCAGACACAGAGGAGCTGAAAGGTTTGCCCAGTCTCAAAACTGCTGTGTGTAGTCTTCTGGCTTGATCTGTCAGACTTCAGAGTCACGGTGTTTGCCCACCGCCTTGGGTGGCCCTGCGCTGCTATGCCAGGGTTGCCATCTTACCATTCCTAACTGCTGATCTCTGTTTCCCTAGAACCTGAAGGCTGCTAACACAGACCCTACAGCCCCACCCTATGACTCCCTGCTCAGGGCAGTGGCTCTGATGCCGGCTCCCTGAGCTCCTTCACCTCCTCAGCCTCCAACCAGGACCAGGACTACAACTACCTTACTGAATAGGGAAGTCGATTCAAGAAACTGGCTGACATGTACGGTGGTGGTGAGGATGACTAGGCTGCCCTGCCGAGCTGTCCAGCAAGAACTGAAGATCCGGTCACAAGGGGAACCTCGCTTCCACTTCGCAAGGACTCTAGAGCTTGCCAGGAAGCGACCTGAGAGGCATGCTGCATCTGACATGAAGGCCGGACTGTAGCCTCTGAGATGAAAGGGTGTGGCACCGACTTCAGCACTGATCCCCTCTCAGCCAGGGTAGGGCTGCTTCCAAGGCTGAACTTGCAGAGGTCTCCCACCTGCCACTCCGTGCTCCACCCCGCCCTCCTCAGGGCCTCCTCGCTCTGACGTTCTTCATGACTTTCCCACGGTTCCTTCTCTTTGGAAAGAGGCCTCTTTCTGCAGCCCCCCCTTTTTTTTTTTCTTATGCGGTTTTTAAAAAGTTAGAAGCTGGAAGGGCAGGGTCAGTGTCCCCTCCGGCCCTCTGCAAGAGAAGCCTGCCAGGCTCGCTGGTCCTGGTTTGTCTGATCTCTGGGCCTTGAGGCCTCACACTGGGATGGATTACTGCTTTATTATTATTTTTTTTAACTGAGTATGTCTAGTTGTCTTGCATTTTTTATTTTCTCTGTTGTGTCCTGTGGGTGGACAGTGATGACAATCATGTATATGTTCTAGAATTTTTTTATTAAACAAACTTTTCCCAGAGGTGCTAAGGGAATCAATTTAAAACAAAACCCGTATCTAATTCTACTTCTCAACTTTACCCGGGCGTTTATGAGAAGGGTTCAGTTTGGTGGTTTTAGACTTTTTAGAAGCTCCTGCAAACCCCTTCACTTCTCAACTTCCTCCTTGTGGTATAGATTTCTCAAGATTCACTCGTGTGTCCTTTGGGCTCCACTGATCTCAGGGCAGGAAAGTGGACTTAATGCTGTGGACAGCCTGTGTTACCGACTTCCCCTCCACTGGAGCTTCAGAGCTCTGAGAGAACCCAAGTTAGCATCCTTCCCCTTGAACTGAGTGGCCCAAGCCGGTAATTATAGCACTAGGGAGGTGAAATCAGGAATTCAAGGTCATTGTGAACTACACAGCAAGTTTGAGGTTGTTGGCTAGGGGGAGGGGAAGGGGAAAGGATCATGTGTGATGTGTATCTGGCTGTAATCCCAGCACACAGAGGCTGAGGCAGGAGTTCTCATATTGGAGGTGGGCTCTTGTCTCAGAAAACAAAAATGTTTCCCAGGCCAGCCAGAGCTTTGTGGTGAGACCCCGTCTCAAACAACAAATGTTTGGATGGATTGATGACCTGCCGCATGGTAAGGGCTGCCACTTACTCAGGACTTCCCAAGCCCCACAGCGCCTAACTTCCTTAAACTGGCCTCACAGTCATCCTCTGAGGGCACTTTCCTGCGCTAAAGAGTGACTCCTTCAGCTGGGCGGTGGTGGCGCACGCCTTTAATCCCGGCAGAGGCAGAGGCAGGCAGATCTCTGAGTTGGAGGCCAGCCTGGTCAACAAGAGCTAGTTCCAGGACAGGCTCTAAAACTACAGTGAAACCCTGTCTCGAAAAAGAGAGAGAGAGATTTCTTCATAAGAACGTGTTTTTTTTTTGTTTTGTTTTGTTTTTTTAACTGTTTTGTTTTTAAATGATATGCCAAAGGCAAGCAAAATGGGGAATTGAAGAATTCACTCAGAGTGTTGGTCAAATTATAATAAATTATAATGTTTCTGATACTGCAGGGGAGTCAGAATGACTTCAAAGTGAAGTCCAAACCTGGCCTTTGGTTGTTGTTTTATTTTATGTACCTGGGTCTTTTCCCTGTATGTATGACTCTGTACCGAGTGTGCCTAAGTATCCCCTTTGCCCAAGGAGGCACCAGAAGAGGGTGTTGGATCCCCTGGGACTGTGAGATGCCGTGTGGGTGCTGGGAATTGAACCCATGTCCTCAGAAAGAGAAGTAGTCAGCAGTCAGCATCTTTTCCACTGAGCCATTTCTCTCCAGCCCCACGAAATTCTTTTCAGAAGAGACTGAGTATGTCAAGTATGGCCATCAACAGAAATGTTCTTTTCGATGAGTGAAAAGAATGAAACTGAGGAAATTGTAGGTGTCGCGAGTGGATGTTCCTTCCCCTGAGAATAGCCTTTGTTTGCTTTGTTTGTTTTTGGAGCATGCTCTCTGGAACCCACTGGCCTCACACTCAAAATCATCTTGCCCTGGCCTCCTAAATGCTGGGACTACAGGTTTGAGACCCCATACTTGACTAAGAGTGGATAATTCTTTTGTAAGGTTTATTTTTATGAATATAAATGTTTTGCTTGCATGTATGTATACCGTGTGTGTGTGTGTGTGTGTGTGTGTGTGTGTGTGTGTGTGTAACCAAGGGAGGCCACAAGAGGGCATTAGATCCTCTGGAACTGGAGTTACAGCCTGTAGTGAGCCGCCACGTGGGTGCTGGTATCATGGGGAGCCCACTAGAGAAGATCACTCAGATGTAGTCTATAGCCAACTGAAAGTCTTTGATTCTAGACTGGGACTACACTCGGATATTTGGGACCTAAATGAAGCCCAAGCATTTAGAGCAAGGGGCTTTTAAAGGCAAAAACCACATCCTGGTCTCCTGTTTGGCAGCTACAGGGGGGAGGTTTTATACGAGCAGATAGTTTAACAGAAGCTAAGATAAGCAGTCTGCAGGGGGAGGTTTGCAAAAAACAGGCAGTTGAACAGAAACCAAGATAAATTAACCCGGGGTATCTTGACCCTTGGGTTCTTAGAATAGAAAGGGGTAATTTTCTATGGAATTCTCCCATCAAGGAGGTCAGATTCTAGTCAAACCTACAATGGCCTCTGAAAGATGAAGGAAGCGGCCTTGTCTTGGCCTGTCACACTGGAACTGAACCTCAGGTCCTGCAGGAAGTTCATCAAGTGCTCTTAACTGCTGGGGCCTTCTCTCCAGCCCCAGGAGTGCTTCAATCTTTAAAGTAGCTGTACTTCAAGTCCAGTCCTGGACTTAGAAGCCACAGCCGTCACCTGATGAGTGGCTGGGGTAAAGCCAGTGGTCAACTCCACAGACCCCAACTGATTTGGGTGCGTGCATAGGTTTGCTATTGAGACTGACAACTGTCATCTAATGAAGAAATCAAAAGGGAATCATGGGGCCAGTGAGATGGCTCTGCAGCAGGTAAAGGTGCCTGCCACCAGCTCTGACAACAAGAGTGTGATTGCTGGAACCCACGTGGTAGACTCTCCCAAGTTGTCCTGTGACTGCCACACGTGTACCACGGCCTGCATACTCATGCACATACATGCTAATAAAATAGAGTGAGTATCTCAGGGGATTTGTAGGTTTCTTACCTACCCTTGGCAGCTCCTGCCTCTGCTCTTGGGCCCCTTTGCCTCTGGTCCCCCTGCTGCTCTTATTGATAAGCAGGTGCGGGAGGATAGGATGTCCCAGCCAGTCACACCTGCTGCCCCTTATCTTTGGCTCTCCTCTCAGAGGCTGAATGAAGCAGGGAAATCCTATCTGCAGCTGCAGTGAGTCACAAAACCCAACAGCCACTGTTGGACCTGACGTTTCCCCTGGGACTTGCCGAGGGTGTCAGAGGAGAAGTGGCTTTTCACAGCCAGCCCTGGCCTCTGAGTGAATCTAGGCTCCTTTGACAATGGGACGAATCACCGACCTGGTGAAGAACAGGCCTGGAACAGGTGGTTAAGGCGTGTGGTTGAGGTGTGTGCCACACAGTTTTCCCTTTGGACATGCTTCCCCTCTACAAAACGAGGACTTAGGCCTGCGGTCATGGGGTTCTATGCCAAGAACCAGCAGTGAGATGGCACAGCAGGTACGGTACATGCTGCCAAGTGTGATGACCTGAATTCATTAATCCCTGGGACCCAACAAGTGGAAGGAGAAAACTATCTTCCTAAAGCTGTCCCCAGACACACACACACGAACACAAACTAAAAAAATTAATGCAATTTTTGAAAACAAAAACAAAGTATTTCCAGAGAGTAAGCCAACATCCCTGACTATTCCCCAGAGCAATAATCCTGCACGCCCCTAATAGTCAGCCGTGCTAATGAGGACTGCCTGGGCATTTGGTTCATCTTTTATGGTCCCCCCTGTTTGGTTGGAAGCATCACCCCAGTCCTTGGCATCCTTATACCCAAAGAGTCTGAAATGTTTGGGTTAAGGCTTCACCTCAGCCTCTGGCATCTGGAAATGTTGGGTGGAAAGTCTGGAATGTTTGGGTGGAAAGTTCCATCCCAAGCCCCCTCTCCTGGGAATTGCCTCAGTTCGAACTCCACCTCTGAGCAAGCCCGCCAAATGCCAAACGATGGGCCCTCCTCAGAGATGTACAAGACCACTCCCACAGGTCCCCCAGAGAACAAACATGTGTTTTCCTGGTCTTCCTTCCCCATCTCCTCTCAAGGCCTGGAAGGCCACCCGTGAATGCTAGTATCCATTAAACCTGGGTTTTTTTCTAATTTGGTTTGGTTTATTGGTTTGATTTGGATTATTGCATCCGATGAAGAGATTTATCAGGGTGCAAAAACTTTTCATACACACTCCCTCACCACCACCACCACCACCACCACCCGCCCCCGAGACAGGGTTTCTCTGTGTAGCAGTCCTGGCTGTCCTGGAACTAGCTCTGTAGACCAGGCTTAGACCAGGCTGGCCTTGAACTCACAGATCTGCCTGCCTCTGCTGGGATTAAAGGTGTGAGCCCCCACTTCCGGGTCATATAGCTGCGTGTGTCCATTAGTGTTTACCCCGTGTGTTGCTATCACATTTTGTGTTACATTGTTGCGTAATAGCTTGTGGGCCACTTTGTTGTCTCCATCACACCCAGTTCGTTGTTGATTTGCTCTCCCCACCATCTGGGAACATAAATTCTAGGGCTTGGATTTGTTTCTAACAACACCGTCCAACAGTCCAGGGCGTCCATCTCTGCAGCAGCTTCCGAGCCTCCGCCAGGTGATGGGAGCTGAGAATGCGGTTCTGGCTGAGATCAGGGCTGTCTGGGGTCGAAAGTTCCACCTGGAATGACTAACCGGCTCTGAAAAGACCTCTCCAGTTCACTCTCGTCAAGTCTCAAATCTCTCCCCACACTTCTAAAGAGCTCCAAGCCCAAGAGAAAATAAAAAGTGAATCTTTAGGATGGATGTGGTGATGCCGAACAAAGATCCCGGTGTGAGGGAAGATGAGGCTAGAGGGGCGAGAGTTCAAAGCCAGCCTGGGCTTTATGGTGAGATTGTCCCAAAACCAACAGCAGCAAAACAAAGGTCTGGAGCTTTCCTGAGAGAAAGGTCTTACTTTTCTCTGAGACCAATCTCCTCAGCCTCCTCCTCCCCTTCTCCTCACAAAACCCCCTCACCCCAAGTGAGGTCAGCCTGGCTCACCTCAGCAGCTGCCCCTGTTCAATCAAGGCAGGGGCTCTCTGTGAGATCAGTTGGGTGACAGGCCACCGTTGACAAAGTTAGGGCAGTCCCCTGGAGAGCCCCACCAGCAGCTCACCCCATATGTATCTAGTCTGGTTCACTGGGGACCTCTGTGGATATTCTTCCCACAAAGTGAAGGCAGAGCCTTCCTTTCTACCTCCCACCAACTTTTTCTTTCTTTCTTGAGATAGGGTTTTGCTGTGTAGCTCTGAAACTCTCTCTGTAGACCAGGCTGGCCTCGAACTCAGAGCTCTGCCTGCCTCTGCTTCCTG